TCCCACTCCACGGCCAGCCTTGCATGGCCGACCCCAGCCCCACCCCCTTGCGAGCAGCACCCAGCCCACCTGCGAGGTGTCAGGGTTGCTCTCCACCACCGGGAAACCATTGTGGTTGGAGGAGGTGTCGCTGAGGATGTCCACAACTGTGCCCACGCGCTCGATCCTCCGCAGGCAGGTGACAGGAGTGCTCATGACCTCCCTGCGGGGAGGGTTTGGTGTGAGACCCAGCCCCATGGCAACGCACCCCAAATATCCCCCCCAGTACACACGCCTCTGCAGCCCTGATGCCTCCTCTGTCCCCAAAACCTGCCAGGGATGTGGGGAGGGAACAAACTGCAAGCTACACTCCCGGCTGGGGAAGGAGCTGGGCTGGTGGCACCAGGCTCCTGGGACAGAAGTGTGTCACCACCTCCATTTCCAGCCCAGGACAAGAGTGTGGTCCAAAAGCTGCTGCCCCAGGAGTGACGAGCATTCCTCAAGCCACCTACCTGGCCGTGAGGGAGTGGGACGTCACCGGGGCCTCCCAGTGCAGGAAGGGCACACTCTGCAGCTGGATGTGCATGTCGTAGAGACCCTGCAACGAGAGCTGAGCTGTCAGGAGAAACCTGGTGAGATGCCAAGGGATACAGCTGGGCAGCAGCTCCCCTCGGGGAGGGAGCACACGCCTGTCCCGGCCCCGCCACAGCTCCCCAGCACCACCAACCCCGACCCACAGCCTCTCGCTGCGTCCTGGCGAGCATGCCAGCCCTCACCTCCACAAAGTAGTCTCCCACAATCTTCGCCGTCATCAGCACCAGCATGATGGGGAAGCCATAGGTGACATTGCCTGTTGCCTCCATCATGATGACAGTGAGGCTCAGCGTCATCCGCACTATCCCACCTGCAGGAGACACCCAAGGGGTTTAGGAGGACAGGGAAACACAGGACGAGGGGACAGAATACCCAAGGTCCCCGAGTCCCTGCACAGTCATCCAGGGGCGCCCGGGATGAGCCCAGCCCTCCCACGTGCCCCAGTGCTGGCTGCCTGTGGCAGGGTCGTTGGGAAGACAACAGCGAGACTGGGCTTCAGCTGGGGAAGGAGCTGCGCCGGGAAAGCAGGGATCGCTTCTTCCCACGCCACCTTCACCTTGACACGAGCAGGAGGTGGCCAAGACCACACCGTAGGGAACTCACCCAGCTGTGCGGCAGCTCCCATCAGGGCGTACTTCCCGGGATCAGCCCAGATCTGAGCACAGGAGAGAGAAGGAGCTGAGTCAGCTGCTGGCCCCAGGGCACCCAGAGCCCGTGAGCAGTGCCCTGGCCCCTAAACCCCCCTGAAAGGGGGAAGGAGCACCCGAGGCTGCCAGCACAGCCCAGCTGCTGGCAGGGCTCTGTTGGGACACGGGAAAGCCCAGATCCAGCTCAGGAAGACATCAAGTAAGGAGCCAACCTGCTCCCGACTGCTGCTGTGAGCTCTTCCCCCTGCACACCACCTGCCCAGCGGTGAGGGACGAGGACTGGGTACCCTAGCTCCTGCGCCCAGTGCCCCTCCCCACCCGGGACTCACCGAGCCCTTGCTCAGGTAGGACAGGGAGATGCCGAAGAGCCTCCCCCAGGCAGCGCCGATCAGCAGGGAGGGGATGAAGACCCCTGCGGACACCGTGAGGCCATAGGTCCAGCAGGCCAGGAAGAAATACATCAGCGTAAACATGCCTAGCGTCATAGGGTTGTAGGAACCTGGGGTGGAGGGAGAACAGAGAGTCAGTGCTGGTCCTGCAGCATCCTGCAGCCCAGAGAACACAACAACAGTGCAGCCATGGGAGAACAGACACCAGCAGTGAAAGCCCCTCTCATCGGGTGTGCCCTCTGCCCTGGCAGCACGAGCCTTTCGAACTAGCCTTTCAGGTTGTTTCTGCCCCCTCAAGACCCCCACCAGCCGGCCAGTGCCACCCCCAGCCCTCCCACCCCACCCAGCCCAGCACATGCCTCTCCTCCATCTTGCGACCTGCCATGCCCTGTCCCCTCCCAGCCCTGTGGTTCCCAGCCTCCCGTGAGGCAGTGTGACGAATGTCCAAGCCCCAAGGGACCGCCGGTGCTGGAGGATGGGGTCAGGAGGACAGAGGTGCTGGGGAGCTGGCAGGGGTCCGACCACCAGCTTCAGGATCAGCTCAGCAGGGTCGGTCCTGCAAACCACCTCCTGTCCCGCAGCTCCCACGGCTGCTCTGGCCAGCCCCAAACTGCCCCATGGCATGGACTGTGCCATCACAGCGAGACCCTGCTGCCCCCAGGACTCAGCCTACTGCTATTGCTGAGCTGCTCAGTCTAGTTTAAACAAGGACTTTACCACCTCTCCTCCACTTTACCACCCTCCTCAGAGGTTGATGGACCGAAGCCCGGAGCCAGGGAGGACCCAGCATCGCAGGGAGCAGCCCCAGGACGGAGGATGGTTATAGCTTGGCTTCAGGTGGCCAAGCTGCACTCTCTGGGCTCAGGGTCTAGAAATTCGGAGCTGTCTGCTCCCTGCCCACATACAGCTGGGCAGGAAACTCAGAGCAGCAGGTAGAGGGCATGTTGGCATTACACTAGGTCCAAGGGAAATGGGAGCTGGAACCCGGGAGCCAAATTGTATTTCTCAAGCAAATCCAAACCCCAAGATCCACCTCCGCAACCTGCCCAGAAGGTAAAGTCGTTCTGGGGCAAGAGGCCCTGCTAATTAAGAAAACAGCCAGAGACATTTCCAGCCAGCGAGGCTCAGACACGCTCCCACGCAACTCCGCAGCGACAGCCTGCAAACATGCACGAACAAAACCAGGTCCTTGTCCACGGGCTCCCAAGACCACGGCCCCTTGGCCAAGCTCACAGGTGCCACCAGGCACAGCATCCATCCCTCCTCCTTCCGTCACCGCAGGAAAGGAGCGGGCACAGTGCTTTGCTCGATCCCATCGTGCCCTCGCTGATCACCCCCTGCCTCGTGCCACGAGCGGCCAGGGAACAGTTCAGCCACCTCACACGAGCCCAGCTCTGCTCTGCTCACGTTCAAGGACCTGCTTGGTGGGTGCACAGACCTGGAGGGTCATGGAAGAGGTTGACGACGCCCTTCTCAGGAGTGTTGAAGAAGGCAGTGGCCATGGAGTTGTACTCTCCATCAGCGCAGAAAAGCTGAGAGGGAAGAAAAGAGAGAGTTAGAAGTGGCAGATCAGGGCTGCCCTGCAGCAGGGAAGGCTGCCAGGCTCAAGGGGACACGTGCCGGCGCAGAGGTGGCTCTGGGCACACCAACACTGTGCTTGGGTCTCCAGCTCCGCCCACAGCAGAGGGCACTGACTGCAAGCTCCAGTGCCACAAAACCCAGCAGGGTCTCGTCTCCCTGCTCAGCCCCTGCCCAGGCTCAGGGTGGCCCCTGTCCCAAGGCGGATGGGGGCCATTCTCCAGAATCTCCTACCTGCAGGGGATACGCCACCGTGCTCCCCTGGATGGGCTGGCAGTCCCTCGAGCAGTAAATCATGACAAAGCCCACAGTCGCCGTCACTGCTGCCACCAGCATGGCCTCAACCACCTGAAGGCAGGGCCGGTGGATGTACCTGTGAAGGGAGCGGAGGAGTGAGGCCAGCACCCCGGGGAGCGGGCAGGACCCCCGCAGCCTGGCTGGGCAGGTCACGCTGGGCACACAGACAGGCTGTCCCCTCCCAGACCCTGCCACACTGTCCTGCTCTGTCTGGCGAAGCGGTGGTGGGGACCTGGGGCAGGAGGCCAGCAGCAGGAGGAGTTTTGCCCTGGCAGCCCCAGCAGCCCTACCTGCCTCGCCTGTTGGTGTGATCCGGCTCGGGGTGCAGCCCAGGAAGCTGTGGCCCATGAAGAGCCAAGAGGAGCGATGCCCTGGGAGATGCTGCAGCCCCCCAGCGCTCCACAGACACAGGTCATCCCCCACGAGGCCAGTCGAGAAGCTGGTGACAAGCACTGGCTGTGCCAGACTGGGCTCAGGTGGCTTTAGCAACAGTCTGCATTCCCTCGTTACTCTCGGAAGCACATATAACAGTCAGCTCACAGCCTTGGCCCGGCAGTGAGAGGCACATGGCACCTTTCCCTCCCCGCTTCCAGGGGTTGCTGTTGCTCACATTAAGTGTGAGATGACTGCACTGGGAATGCTGCTTTGGGGGACCGCAGAAGATGCCAGCCAACCCATGTCAATCCCTGTCATTACCCATCAGCTCTTACCTGATGCGGAACATCGTTAACCAGTAATTGAGGGCATTGAACAGAGCCCCGAGGATCCCACCTGCAAACGCAAAAGAGGAAAAGCTCAGCGCATGGGTCCCAGGCTCTCCTACAGCTGCCCAGGACATGAGGATCGTGTGAAGCTCAGGCAGACACCAACAACCCACCCAGTGACCAGCAGCCCCAGGACGTGGGGACACTGTCCCTGCAGAGACACCAGGACCTGACACCCAGAGGAGCCCAGCACCAGTGGCAGGGTGGCCAGGTCCAGCACCCCAGCGGTGGCACAAGGCAGGCGAGGGACAAGCCAGTCCCCTGGGGACAAGGGCAGCTTGTGTGAAAGCAAGAGGTTGCCCATGACTGCGATGCACTGACCCCACTCAATGGCTCTGCAGTACGGGAACTGCAGGGGCTCGCCTTTGCTCCAAGGGTAAGGGGTGGGCTGGGATCCAGCTCTCGCCCCCGTGTAAGCCCCACAAGCAGCCTCTGCTCCAGAGTTTAATGGATTTCCCATTCTCCCCAGGAAACTGGATCCCAAAGTTTTTGAGACCCAGACAGAGAACAGAGGAAATTACTCAGACTAATGAAACTGAAAGAGCAGCACTCACTCACCAACCACTCCCATGAAGATGAAGATGGGAATTTCCTGGATCGTGTATCCCATTTTCTGCAAGCAAGCAAGAAACGGGTTTCAGATCTCCTGAACCATCTGCAACCAGTCACTGTCTGCTGGGACAGCTCAATCCTGCACCAGCAAGCAGCAACCAGCGCTGCCCCAAAGCCTCCCATGGGCACTGCGCAGCCGCCAGAAAAGCTGTCTGCTGGGGCTGGTGGAGCTGGGAGCCGGCCAGACCCCCCAGCCTGCTTGGGCAGAGCCTGCCTCAACCCAAGGTGATGTTTTAAGACAGACTGGTGTCCCCAAGCTGCTGGGGGCTCCTTCTAACCCTGCCTGACAGAGCCCTGCATGGGGAATATCCCTGCCGTACCTCGTTATCAAACCGTCCGAAGTTGATGAGCCCAGGGCTGGAGAGATCCCAGGCGTTGCCGTGGTAAACGCTCAGGACAGAGTTCAGAGTGAACGTGGAGATCATGGAGGCAAAGAACTGGAAGGAGACACAGCCCAGAGTCACCGCCAGACACCTCCAGCCCTAATCCCTCACCACGCACCCCCGGCACTATCCCAATCACCCCCCCCGAGGCCCCTGGGCAGGGTTTGGTGCCCACGCTGGAGCAGGGCAAGGGGCCGTATTCCCCGCGGCAGCGCTCTGGGCAGCGTACACCGGCCATGGGCTCACTCCTCCTTCTGCCTCTCCATGATCCTGGGCACAGCCCAAGGCAGCTCCCTCGGAGAGGAGCTGGCAGCAGGACGGAGCTCAGCCAGGTCCAGATTCAGCCCCTAGGACCGGGGCACAGAAAAGGGGAGCTGGGATGCTGTTCCCTGCGATGCGTTACCCGTGGCTGCCTGGCTGGGCAGGGATGGCAGGAGGCCTGGGGGTGTCAGGAAAAGGCAATGCCTCCCACCAGAGCAGGCAGCCCTTGATTTCCTGCTCCTGCTTCCCAGCACTTACGATTCTCCACGTCAGGAACTGGTTCCAGAAGGAAGCTCCTTCCTCCAAGCTGAAGAGGACACCCCCTGCAAATGCAAGGCACAAACACCTTCACAAGGGGCGCGTGCCAGAGAGCCCCGGCTTACAGAACCACCCCAGCCCCCCAAATTCACCCCA